AAAAATCCAGCTTCACCAAGGTATGTCATCATCCAAAGGGAACTGGCGCCATCTAATGCTGAAACGGAACTACCTGGAACCAGGGCACCTATGCTTCTCTGTAGAATTAAAAACACTTCACTGAGTTTGCTGCTGTGCCTCAAGTGTATCAGCACAATTGGGAACAGATTTAACCTAGTGGGACAATGCTTTTCTGTTCTAAGATCATACTCTGAATCACACAATACAGTTCCTATTAGTAAATATTTAGGTGGTTCATAATTCTCATTTTCAAACAGTTAAAATTTCTTCTGTGTGTGTCTCCGCACAATCATTCACTTATTTATCCAACCACTTTTTATTACATGCCAGGTACTATTTGAAATGCTGAGGGAATAGAGGTGAATAACAAGGTTCTATCAAGGGTGCAAGAATGACACACCTCTCAAGAATGACAGCCCATGGGGCTGGGGATACAGCTCAGTTGGTAGAGTGCTTGCCTTGCATGCACAAAACCCTGGGTTCAATCCCTAGCACCAAAAAAAAAAAAAAAAAGACAGCTAATGAAGGAAAATAAATAGAAGGCAGAGGTTAGAGAATGCAAGAATATGCTATTTAAATAGGGTGGTCAGGGTAAAGCTCCTAACATCTGAGGAGATATACTGACATAAAGGAATTAGCATGTGGACATTTGGGCAATGTAGTTCCAAGTAGCAGGGACAATGAAAAACAAAATCTGAGGCAAGAATAAGCTTTCAGTTGTTAAGGGACAAGCAGGTCAGAGTGATCAAAGAAAAATAAAGACAAGGCTGGTACTGAGATGGAGAGGCAAGCAGGGGCCAGATAATACAGGACCTAACAGGTCTCAGAGTAAGGAATTTGAATCCTCAGAAGAGGATTCCATGTAGGGAATGGAAGAGATGAGATTAAATGATCTCTTTAGTCTGTTCTACCTGTTCTGCAAAATGCAGGAAAAACAACTGGGGTCTAGGCTAGTCCCAGGGGAAAATGGTGGAGTGGAACATAGTGGAGATGGTCATAAATGGCTGGATTCCAAGTATATTTTGAAGGCAGAACAAACTGGCAGATGGAGTCAGTAGTAAAAAAGAGAAGAATTAAAGTTAGCTATTAGGTTTTGGCCTGAATAAATATATAAATGGAAAAGCCATTTATTGAACAGGCAAAACAGGGGGAGGGGCATGTTTCAGGGGAGAAATTAAGTTTTTTTAATTTAAGAATAAAATTTTAGAAGTGGAAATGTTGAGTCAACAGATATACACATTAAAAGACTGATAAAGGGGGGCTGAGGCTTTAGCTCAGTGGCAGAGGGCTTGCCTACCATGTGTGAGGCACTGGGTTCAATCCTTAGCCCAGCCTATAAATAACTAAACAAAATAAAGGTATTGTTCAGGGCTGGGGTTGTGGCTCAGTGGTGGAGCGATTGCCTAGCATGTGTGAGGCCCTGGGTTCAATCCTCAGCACCACATAAAAATAAATAAAATAAAGGTATTATGTCCAATTACAACTAAAAAATAAATATTAAATAAAGGTATTGTTCATGTACAACAACAAAAAAGACTGATTAAATTGCCACACTGTCCTCAAAAAGAAAAAATTTATATGAATTTATTTTTTACCAATAATATGTAAGCATGCCTATTTCCCAGTTTTGTTTTTTTTCTTCTTTGGAACTGGAAATGGAAACCAGGGTTTTGTGAATGTGGGGCAAATGCTTTGCCACTGAGCTACATCCCATCCCTATTTCAGGGTGTTTTTGCCAGGAGGAAAAATAAGATAAGGAAAAAAGTTTTAATTTGTATGTTTTTATTAGTAATTTCACTGCGTTTTTATGGCTGTGAACTGTCTATTCATAATGTTTATTCATTTTTCTGGAGACATGCACTTTCCTTTCATGTAAGTATCCCTTGTATGTGTATAATAAATCTATCTTTATACATCATATTTCATATATTGTCCGTGGTGCCTCTGATAAACAGAATTGGCTCTTATTTTTATGTAATAAAAATCTACTTTGCTCCTCCTTGTATGTATAATGCTTAGCTAATTTTAGGTTCACCATAAAATTTGCCTTTATTTAATTCATTATTACTAAAGTTCTGCCTCTGGTACAGACCCCCAAAAGCCACCTATATTTTTTGTTAAATACTAACTTCATCTAAATTTATTCTGTGGTATGACTGATGTGAGGTCACGATAGATGGGTATATACACATATATGTTTATATTATGTAAATTGAGTCATTATAGTCCTTTATATCCAATGGCTTTCTACTGAAAATTGATTTAAATCCTGTCTCCTTACCATGATTTATAATATCCCATGGTTCTCCTATTTCTGTAACATTCTTCCTACTTGTCCACCAAACTCCAGCCATGGTGGCCTTTCAGTCTCCAAGGTATTTTTCCCTCTGGCCTTCTGCCTCTTTCCCCAGAATCTATGGCTTAATGTGACCGGCTGCTTCTCATCATATGGGTAATTTTCACCTCAAACAGTCCTTGCCAGACCCAGACACCATTCCATCTAACTTACTACCAACTCAGTGCCTTTCCATAACATTACTCCCATTTTGCTTAACTCAAATGTTTATTGTCTACCTCCTCTGCCTCTTCCGACAGAATATACTCTAAAAGGCAAGGTACCCATCTGTCTCTTGAAGCTAGCTGTGCGTCCCCAGCGACTGTTGTGTCTGCCACATAACATTTGCTCAATTAATATTTGTAGCAAGGGGAGGGAAAAATACCTGGGGGTCGGTTTCCTATTCGAACTTAGTTTTTAAACTCTAGGATTCATCTCATCTCGTTTAACATCGGTAATTCACCCACACGCTAAGCTTGCTTAAAACCTTACGAAACTTATCTGGGAGCCCCGGGGCTGGACCCTGAAAGGCCTCAGCGCCGCTAACCCATCTTCCCTGCCGGTCACTTGTGGGCAGTGAACAGCGTCAAGTTTTTGCAGTCCTGTTGGGTCCCGCCCTCCGGCGCAGGAGATAATTAAAGGGACAGGGCACAGCAGCTTACCAGCTCATCCGGACTCAGGACTCCGAACTGCACTCTCTTGATGGTGCGCAGCGGGCATGCGCTGTCCCCGGAGGGGGGACCACCCCCGTGCATGGCAGAGGAAGGCGCGCTGCGCAGGCGCAAACCTCGCTACAAAAAGCCTGCGCCGCCTCCGCCTAGGTGCTCAGACCCTGTCGGGGCGGCCACAGGGAAGGACCTCCCTGAGTTGGGAGTAAAAAGTCGGAGGAGGGAAAAGGTGGGGGAGGGAAGGAGGCGGGGAAATGAAAAAGAACGAAAGGAAACCTTCTCCCCCTTTCCGGAGATTTTTCGGCTCCCAAAAAGGAAAAAAAAAAGCGGGGGTGGGTAAAGGAAAAGGTTTTGGGGGGAGAGGAAGAAGAAAAAGGGTAACGAATAAATAAGTAACCGGGTTCCTGAACGGCAGAATTTACGGCAGTTTGTCTCTCCCCCTTCCGGGAGCCGCCTTCTTCTCCAACCGTCCCGGTCGCGCTCTCGGCGCTTCTGAGAAGCGAACTGGCCGAATGACGCCCTTTATAGATTCGCCCCTGCATCCCCGCCCCTTCCTTTCCCGCCCTCCCTTGCGCTACGGGGCCGCCTGCGCCGACCCGCACGGGGCGCGCGCTGGAGTCGTTGATCCTCTCAGGATCTCTGGTTGGGAGACCTTTTGAAATGACAGGGGGAGGGCAATTTTCCTAATCCCACCCCCTCCCCTCTTTGCTCCCTCTTGCACTGAGGTTTGAAGGATCGAGGACAAAATTAGGCCTTTTTAATTCTACTTTGGAGTATGGTTTCATCTTCAGCAAAAGTCTCTCATTAATATCCCCCCCATCAGGAAAATGGTCTGTTCCGCGGATCGGTAATGGAGGCGGGGCCGATCGGGTCCACCAGAGTAGGTTCCCGGAGGAGTGCTGGGTCCGTCCTTGATCATGAATATGCAATTTCTCGTTGAATATGCATGAACAGATCAAGATGGCGAGTTCAATCGTTTGTCCGGAAGTAGGCGGTATTTGTCGAGCGGCTTTCAGGAATGAGTGGGCATCTCCTGGTCTCTAATCGAGCGCTGAATTCAGCTTTGGTGCTGGATCCTCAGGCTGAGCCGTTCGAAGAGGCCTCAGCTCAGAGGCCTGCTCCGGAAGGAGGCTAGCCACTGTCTGGGAGAGATCACGGGACCGCAACAATCCGGGAAAAGCAGATTAGCCATGGGGCGGAACACGAAAATCCTAGGGGATTTGGCGGGGGGGTTGGGTAGAGGGGAGTGTCAAGGAATCTGAACATTAGGAAATCCTCCACTTTATAGAATATTTCAGAAATAAGATTGGTGGGGCGGGGATCCCAAGGGATTCTCCAATAAGAGAGGTGTAGGACTTCCACCCTCCCTCTAAAGCAGAGATGACACCGACTGCATAGCCACATTCAGAATGATCCTTGTTTGATGTCAGTGTCACGTCATCACCCTGGGAGGGGGGCACAACCACGAGGAAAGGAAACCATCGCCTAAGGAAAAAGGCACACTCCCCTCCCCCAGTGCAGCTGCTGGCTCTGTCTGTTAGCCTGAATGCCCGCTGCTGGCACACTTCTGCCCCAATGCTCTTCTCTGCTGCAGTGGGGAATCCTCCCGGTGGCCCACAGCCAGCCTGCATCAGCCCCTTGGATCTGAGACCTTACTCCTTATAGTTGTGCCCTGATTCACAGGACCCAGCCTTGACTCCATATCCCTTGGTCCCCAGGCTTGTTCCAGATCTTCCGAATATCCCTCTCCACCTTTGACTCTGAGGGGTGTCCCTCTCCCACACCAGTTGTTCTCCAGGCACTTGTATGCCCATGTTTGTATTCCAGTCTCTCCTCGTATTTACCCCTGTCCCCCCACCCCAACCCCCAGGCTCTCAAGTTTTTTTTTTTTTTAATATTTATTTTTTTAGCGGACACAACATCTTCGTTTGTATGTGGTGCTGAGGATCGAACCCGGGCCGCACGCATGCCAGGCGAGCGCGCTACCACTTGAGCCACATCCCCAGCCCCATCAAGTTTGATGGCATTCCTCAACCTGCCCTTCCCTCTTACAGCTGAGATTCTTGGCAATGATGATGGCAATGCTGCCCAACATGACCCCTGCCCCCATGATGTCAGAAGGTGCCACAGTTTCATAGAGGACATAATACTGCAACATCAGGGCCACTACCACCTCAGAGTGCAGGACAGCGCACACCAGGGCAGGGTGGGCCTTGGTGACTGCATAGCTCACACACACAAAGGAGACCAAAGCAAGGATCCCCACTGCTCCCACACAGCTCCAACTCAGAGGGTCATTGGGTAGCACAGGGGTCTGTAGCAGAAAGAGGCCTGGCACAGAGCCCAAAAGCCCCACCAATCCAAATAGGAAGGCCACTGTTGGTAGGCAGGAGGGGAATTGCAGGGAGCGGTAGACCAGAAGCCCCAGTGATAGAGCCAGACCTCCTAGGAAAGCCAGCCCATAGCCTAGGGCAGTGTAGAGGCCTGTGGTCCCCTCCTGCAGTGTCCCTAGTCCAGGTCCCACAATGATGATTAATCCCAGGGTGCTACCCAACAGGCCACACCAGTCGTAGCCACTGAGACCCTGACTCTCAAGGCAGAGGGCGAGGAGAGTGGAGCACACGGTAGAAGAACCTTTACGAACAGTGGCAGCATTGCCAGCAGGCACCACTTGAACCGCAGTGTAGGCACATCCGATGCTGAGGACGTTGAGCAGAGCATGGAGGAAGGCCCGGCCCCGGACATCAGGAGGTCCCAGCAGTGGGTCACCACGCAGCTTAAGTAGCAGGGCAATGGGGAGGTGGAAGAGGCATCGACCGATGAGCATCTCCAGCGAAGGCCAGCGGGAAGCCTGGTAAGCCATGCGGGAGAAGGGGCCTATGAAGCCAGCAGGCAGGCCCCCACCCAGCAAGGCAACAAGCAGGCCCTTGGTTGCATCCGAGGTCCAGCAGCGCTGGTTCGAGGGGAGGTTGGGCGGAGTGGAGGCCGGCGATGGCTGGGTGATGTCCAGCAGGTTGAAGTAGGGGTGACTGCCAGCCTGTTAGGGAGAAAAGAGCTCGAGCATGAGGGCAATCACAGCCCAAGGTGAATGCCAGGCTGGGGTCTGGGACCCTGCAGAACTCAAAGGACATAAAAGATCCTGAAAAATAGATGTAGTGGTACAATGTGGGCCTTTAGCATCTAAAGCAGGAAGTCGGGAGTGAGTGGTGCAGGAGTATGAGTATCCTGTTTTTCTGGGTAGTTCAGTCTTGAGAGGAGAAAAAGAAGGACCCAGGGATGCTCTGTTGATTTGAGAAAGCGGAGGTAGCTTCTGATGCTGTGTAGATGCTGTGTATCTGTGTGATGTCACAAGCTCCAGGGACATGTGGGTACATCATTATGAGTTTCATTTTTATGTGTCTCTAGGACCACTGGCAAGTTTTAGGGGAGAAGAAGGGAAGTTACCAGCAGCAGAATGTTGTATTCTCTATGCCCCTTATGCCCTCTGGCCCCTATACTCACCATCTTTCCTTGGACTTCCTCCTCTCCTCCTGGCTCAGGGGGCCTGAGCCCTTCAGAGCTCCAGCCATTGTGACCTGGTTGGAGTGGGGGTGGAGTTCTTCTCTGGAACCTTCCTGGAGTGGGGTGGGGCTATCTTCTCATGAATTCCAATTCTGCTTGTTTCATCTTTGTTTCCATGACTCCAAAGTGTGTCTGATTCCCTCTCTCTCTCTCTCTCTCTCTCTCTTTGTGTGTGTGTGGTACTAGGGATTGAACTCCAGGACTCTCTACCACTGAGCTACATCCCCAGCCCTTTTTATTTTTTATTTTGAGAAAACGTCTTCCTAAGTTGCCAAGGCTGTCCTTGAACTTCCAATCCTCCTGCCTCAATCTCCCAGGTCCCTCAGATTACAGGCATGAGCCCCTGCACCCAGCTTTTCTCTATTTATTGTTGTTGTTCTGGAGATTTAACCCAGGGCACTCTACCACTAAGCTACACTCCCAGATTTTTATTTTTTCTTAAAAATTTGAGTCAGGGTCTCACTAAATTACCTAGGTTAGCTTCAAACTTGTAATTCTTCTGCCCCAGCCTCCCAAGTTGTTGTTATTACAGGCATGTAATTTCTCCTTGAATGGCTCTGTGATACTTCTTTGGCTTTAGATTCATTTGTTTATTTGTCTTGCTTTGTTTCACAAAGATTTTAAGGAGAGGAGCTCAGAGGTCTGACTCCTCTCTCCTGAGTTCTTTCCAGAACCAGGGAGGAGTCTCTGGGATTGTCCCTCTGGAGTTTCAGGAATGTGTTTCTTCTGTGTGTGCTTTTTCTACCTGGTGTTTTGATGGTGCTGTCCAAGGAGGCCCACACCAGGGCCTCTGCATTCATGCACAAAGTATATGGATGTGGATATTTCCACTAGTGGAGACAAAGTACCAAGCTGTGCATTCATCTGCACTGGTGGTCACTGATGTGTGCTTGTTTTGTATGGCTTGGGGTTTTCCTTGTCACGGGCCTGGTGGAGTACCTTGAGCATTTCTGGTGTGTCTAAGGCATGTGGGTCTGCCATGTTGTATATATATGGCCCAGAGAGTGTGTGTACACTATTAGGCGATTAGATTGCACCCCTTAGTGAAGGGCGTGATGGGGAAAAGGCAGAGTGGGGGTGTCCCTTTCCAGGGAGTGGGTGGCTGTGTGTCCCTGCAGGGACACTGCAGCCCGGCCAGCGCCCGGCTGAGTGTTCACCGGTGGCCCGGCGCCGCGCGTTTCCCTGCGCGCGATCGGCCGTCGTACATTGGAGCCTTGTGTCGGTGTCTGCTGCGCTGCGCCGGCCTCCTCTCGGCGGCGGCGGCGCTGGGGGGGGACTGTTTCCGGGGGTGGGGGGGGGGGGAGGACCGGGGCGGGGGGGGGGAGCCGATGATGTCAGCGGCGGCGGCGGCGGCGGCGGGGCCGGGCCGGGGCCGGGCGCTGGGGGGGCCAGGGCCGGAGCCGGAGCCGGAGCCGGAGCTGGAGGCGGGCGAAACCGGAGCGGCCGGGGGCGGCCACGGTGATGAGCCGGGCCTGGCGGACGCGGCGCCATCGCAGTCAGGTGGGCCCCGAGGCGAACCGGGCAGGGCCAGGGCGGACCGGAGCCAACTGCCGGGCCCCCTCCCCGCTGCCCGGCGCCGTGGGGGCCCTAGCCGCGCCCCGAGCCGCTACCGCTCCCCTTTGGAGTTGACCTGGGGGCTCAGGGGTCGGGGACTGAGCCTGGCCCCGCCCCCGGGCGCGCACGGCGCTGGGGGGCGACTAAGGGGGCCCTGGTATGGCGTCCGAGGGAGCGGTGGACTGGGGACGCGATTGCCCCGGGCTGTGGAAGGGGCCGTACTCACTCCCCCTTTGAAGGGTTAATTCTGCAGCCTAAAGTCCCCCTCCCCGCGGGGGGCAGGTTGGGGGTGGGGTGGGGCGGGTGTGAGCCCAGGCAAGCGCTGCAAGCTGCTGGGAGGGTGATGGCGTAGGAACCAGGCAGAGAGGGGGGAGGGGTGGGCCTCTGAGCGCCCCAGAGTTGGGGTGTGCGGGGTGCGCGGGGTGCGCAGTGTGAGCAGGAGCACTGGATCTGCCGCGCCGTCGGGGCAGGGTTGTGGCTGTGAGTCTTGGAGATTGTGTCTCCTGCAGTGTTGTGGGGCAAGGTAAACCGCTCTGGGGCACCACCGTTTGCTCCTCTGGCAGTCAGGGGCCCAGGTTGGGCCCTGCCTGGGCCATAGAGATAGAAGGCCAGGAGGGGTGTCCAGTGCTGTGGGGCAGAATTACTTACAAGATGTGGCCCTATGGCTTTGGGTGACAGATGGGCATTCTAAGCAGGGTACAATACGCTGAGTGCGGAGTTTGTTCGTTGTGAGGTTGTATGTATATTTTCCATTAGCCTGTGTTTTCTTGCACGTATGTCTTGTGCTGCACATATGAACTGTGTATGCTTGCTTGTTCTCTGCATAGCTGGCATGGTGTACTTCTTATGGAAGGCTCCTGAATGCAGGGTGTATGTGCCCATTTGGAAGGGGCAGTTGTGTACCTTTGAGTTAAGGTATCACATCTGGGTGTTGTTTCTGTGGTCCTGCCAAGGTGTGGTCCACTTGTGGTGAGGACAGACTGATGGATGGGTTTGTGTGTTTGTACGGAGTGAGTTGCATGGGGGCCACACATCTAGAACTCAGATCCCATGTATCACAAGGGGATTGATAAACCTCAGGGTGTGTCTCTGGTTCCTGTGGGTCAGCTGGCATTGGTGTGAAAGGTTCTGGGTGGGATGTGCAAGTTGTGTTTATGGCATCATGGGCAGCCAAGCAAAAGGAAGGTTGTGTGTTTGCAACATTCTCTGCGGGATTCTTTTGTGACGTTGTTTGTGGGAGCCTGTCCGAGCTGTTGGGCTGGGAGGCAAGCTGGTCAGAAAACACTTGTGGGGAGGGAGGTGGCGTGACAAGGGCAATGTGGGCCTCAAACCCAAGAGACCAGCCGCAAGCTGTGTGTGAGTGCCTACCTTCTGTATGCTTAAGTGGGGGTGTGGGGCTGCAGAGGAGCTGTTATGGGAAGACAGGGAGATAAATATGGGGCAGAGCAAGGGCAGCAGGCAGGAGGCATGGGTGTTGTCAAGGTGGCACATCTCTTGTAGGGTCTGTGTGCTTGCCGCTCACCCAGCCTGTCAGGGTCACCGAGAGGAGAGTCCTGGCGCCTGCAAGGGAAGTGAGCTTAGACAGTGTGGCTCCTTGGCCATGTTTATGTAAAGACCGGGTGTGACTTTTGTCACTAAAATGGAAAAAAGAAACATGAAGTTTTCAGTCTCCTCCTCCTACTTTGCCCTCTCCCTCTCTCTGCCCCCCTTGCGGGTATCTGTGACGCACACTGGGCCCCACTCTTGTGACTGGAGGAAGGTGGAAGGGCCTTGAACGGAATTTGCTCACTAGGCAGATTCCTTAGAACAGGTTTTCCTCACCTTTGGGGCCTGGGCCTTCTGTAGGGGCATGTGTATGCACATGGATGCATGCTCCAGTTGTGCATGACACTGTGTACTTCTCTTGGCCTGCGGGAGGGCATATATACGTGGAGGAAGGAGAGCATTGTGGCTGGATCCTTCAGTCTGGGGATGGGGAGGGGGCTGGCTGCTGTGTGAAGCCTGTGGGACAGGTGCAAAACAGAAGCCCTGCACTGGAACTAAAGAGTTCTGTGGCTCTGTGACTTACTGGCACTTTGCCTAAGTGAGCCTCAGTTCCACATCTGTAAAACCGCCCTAATTATGTGTTCTACCTACCACTGACCTGGGAAACAGACCTGGACTGTTAGCTTCAGTTTGGGGGCTGTGCCTGTGCCAGGTCCTGTCGGCCCTCTGTCAGCACTGAGAATCCCCTTCCGGTTTCACTAATAGCAATGGCTGTAAACACTTGGTCAACACTAACTGAGTATTGGACACCATTCTTAGTGCCTTTTCTTACTGTTGCTCATTTAGTCCTCACAGTAGGTACTCTGATTACCTCCTTTTTTCAGGTAAGGCAATTGAGGCCCAGAGAAGTTCGTAATTTGTCCAAAGTCACTTAGCTAGTAAAAGTTAAAACTATATTTGAACCCAAGCAGTCAAGTTCCAGATCCTGTGTTCTTAATTGCTGTGCTCTGATGCCTTCCTGGAGTATTCAGTGGACCTCTCTGCACGCACACACGCACACACACACATACACTTCTCCTCAGTTTCTGCAGAACTCAGCATCTCACCAGGAAAGCAGTATGCTTAGGTAGCACTCTCACGAATCCCAGCCCAGCGCTTGAGACCCTAAAGATCTGCTACTTTATAACATGGGTGCTGGCCAGAGGGGCACAAAATGTTGGTAAGTCAGAGGAAAGAAAGGTTGTCCTTGTCCTGTGGGTCATAGAGGGCCAAAAAAAAGATAGTACATTTGATCTTAACATTTTGGAGGAATGTTGAGAAGAAATTACTGAGAGGGCATTGCTGGCAGGAGACTCAGCAGAGGCAAAGGCACCGAGGTGGAATATGTGGAGGTTGGAGAGCATACTGGGTGTTTAAAGAGAGAATAACACAGGCAAGATTAAGGGGAGCTTGGAGCTGGACCAGAGCCCTTGAGTACTTGGTGGAGGAGTTTGAACTTCATTCTTAAGTCAGTGGGGACTATAGACAGTTTTTGAACCTAGCTGTGTTAGTACCTGAACTGCCAGTAGGAACACTGCCTCCCATGGGAGGAAAGCTGGATGGGAAAGGTGAACCTAAAGAGGGAAAGCTGGGAGGCCTTGGCCTTGGACCATGTAAGTGTTAACAAGGACCTGTTTGGAGGCCAAAGGCGGGTTGAGAGAAAACTTGCAAAGCCATTCCCAAGCTCAGCTGCAGTTTCAGCCAGACTTGGTGACTGCTGGATTTGGGAGCGAGGGAAAGGGTGGAGTCAGACACGACACATTTAGCACTTAGCACGTGAGACCTTGTGTGGTGATTTATGTAACCAGCTGGCCTGCCGTAGGCCCCTTCAGGACAGGATCCAGCAGAATGACAGATGCAAAGATTTAACATCTGGGGTCTGCCCAGCCTGAATTCAAATCTTGACTCTGCTATTTTCAAGCTGTGTGACCTTGATCAAGGTATA